GCCTTGAGCTGAAGAGCTGAGGGACAGTGCCCAGGCCCAGAGTTCAAGCCCCATGACCGACCAAAAAAAAAAAAACTATCTGCACTACAAAACCCTAGGAGATGCCCCTGCAAGAGGACCTGGTTGGACACCAGGACACTAGCTTCCAAAGCTAGCCCGGTGTCAACCAGCTGTGTGATGTGGGAAAAGTCTTTTCCATGTTCTGGGCCTCTGAAGGAAGAGTTAACCAGATCATCCTTAAAGTCACCTCCGGCTATGAAGCAGAGAGGCTAAGCAGAAAGGGAGACCCGGAAGGGAGAGGGAGAAGGTGGAGTCCTGGTGGTCATGGGGAGAGTGGCTACAGGAGTGAGCAGAGAGAGAAGTCGAGAATGGGCTTTCTGAGTCACAAAACAAGTCAAACTTGAAAACCATCTCTGCACAGCCTCCCTGGGAGGCGTGCACACATACACGTACACATACACACCCCAGCTAGGGACCCTAGCTTTCCTAAATCGGTGGCATATTCACTTGGGGCCAGCAGAAAGATGAGGGTGGAGTCCTGGGTCCCTCAGTGGATGTCCCCTTTGCCCCAGAAAAAAGAGGAGGACTCGGGGATTTCTGGGTCAGTTGGAAAATTACAGAGCCAGCTGAGGGTGGACAGTGGTATTTTCCAGGCTTGAGAAAGAACACAGGGAGCAGGAGAGAGTTGTCCCACCTCAGAAAACTGAGGAGTCTTCTCTCTCTCCCTCCAGCACCCCATCTACCTTATGCCTTGAAACACAGGGAAGAGGAGTAGACTGAGCAGACAAGCAGGTGTGAGATCCCAGCCCCAGCCCAGCAGTGTGCCACTCCAACAGCTCCCCAGTGAAGACAACGTTCCTTTACCAGCCTTCTCAGGTGGATAGATGTGCTGCTCACTGTCAATCCCAGCACATAGAGGGCTAAGGCAAGCAGGGAAATCATGAATTTAAGGCAAGCTTGGCCTACACACACACCCACACCCACACACACACTTTGTCCTAGATGAATAAATAAACAAACAGGCCAACAGATGCATTATCCCTGTCCATTGTCCCTCAGGAAACCTCCCCTATTTTATCAATGTGACCTCCTCAGGTAGTAATAATAGTTAATCATTATAGATTGTACTATTGTTTCCATGCTTTCCCTGGAATTATCTCCTTGGATCCCTACAGCAAACTCTACAGAGAGGTACCATTTTTAGATAAAGAAATTGAAGTACTTTCCCAGTTGAGTCTCTTTTCTTCAACTATAACCAACATGGAAATCCAGCCACTCACTAGGCTCTGAAAATCAGGCAATCTTTGAGTGTGTGTGTGTGTGTGTGTGTGTGTGTGTGTGCACGCGCATGTGTGGGCACTGGTACTAGGACTTCAATTCAGGGCCTCGAACTCTCCTTAACTTTTTCCGCTGAAGGCTGGCACTCTACCACTTGACCACAGCTCTACTTCTAGCCACCAATTGAGAATAGCAATCTTCATCTAGCCTTGCCAGGAGCTTCAGAGACTAAGAGAAAAAAAGGCACAACCACATCCTAGCTAATACCCATACTGCTCCCTTCATAAAAGTCTGTGTCTGGGCTGGGAAGGTGGCTCAGTGGTAGAGCGCTTGCCTTGCATGCCTAAGGCCCTGGGTTTGATTCCTCAGCACCACATAAGCAAAAAGAAAAAAGCCAGAAGTGGCTCTGTGGCTCAAGTGGTAGAGCACTCGCCTTGAGCTGAAGAGCTGAGGGACAGTGCCCAGGCCCAGAGTTCAGGCCCCACGACCGGACCAAAAAAAAAAAAAAAAAAGACTCGTACTCTACTACTTGAGCCACAGCGCCACTTCCTACTTTTTCTGCTTATGTAGTGCTGAGGAATCGAATCCAAGGCCTCAGGCATGCAAGGCAAGCTCTCTACCACTGAGCCACCTTCCCAGTCCTAGAAAAAAATTTTAAGGGCAGGATGAACCATAGACTAAGCATATTGTATCAACTCCACACAAACACTATGTTGCCATTAAAAATTATGTCATGAAAAAAAATGACATGATCCAGGCACTGGTGGCTCAGGCCTATAATCCTAGCTACTCAGGAGGCTGAGATCTAAGGACTGCAGTTTGAAGCCTGCCAGCGCAGAAGAGTCCATGAAACTCTTATCTCCAATGAACCACCAAAAAAGCTGGAAGTAGAGGTATGGCTCAACTGAGGTAGAGGTATGACTCAACCTTGAGGTAAAAAGCTAAGGGATAGTGCCCAGGCCTTGAGTTCAAGCCCTAGTACTCACACAAAAATTAATCAGTTAATTCATTTTTTTTTAAAGATCCAGGTGAGGGGCTGGGAAGGTGGCTCAGTGGTAGAGTGCTTGCCTTGCATGCATGAAGCCATAGGTTCAACTACTCAGTACTACATAAGCAGAAAAAGTGAGCAGTGGTGCTATGGCTCAAGTGGTAAAGCGCGAGAGCTGAGGAGCTCAGAGACAGCACCCAGAGTTCAGGCCCCATGACCAAAAAAAAAAAAAGATCCAGGTGATATTGTCCAAAAAGAAATGTACTCATTATCTGACTTATATCACTGTAAATCCTCCACATATCACCTTTATAAGAACAATAAAAAATTTTAAAAAACAGATCCAACTGAGCCCATTCCTGCTTCAGAAAGTTCTGGGCTTTTCCATGATGTTGAGAAAAAATGGCTGAGACATAGAGAACCAATCACAGCTCAAGACAGGGAAGATGACATCTAAGGGGACAGGAGGGAGGTAAGTCCCAAGTGGTTTCAAGCAGAGATGCGGCAGGTAGGGGACACTTTGGTCTTTGAGTCATCCAGGCAAGGGGGAGGCTAGATAAACCCAGTACCCTAGCTCCCCTCCTTCCTTCCCTCCTCCCTTTCTCCTTTCCTTTTTTCCTCTTTCCTTTTTCCCTCCCTCCCTCCCTTCCTTCCCTCCTTCTTTTTGGTCAGTGCTGGAGATAGAACCCAGGCTCTTCTACTTGTTAGGCATGCACCTACCACTGAACTACCTGTAGCTAATTTCACAGGAGCACTGGAATTGGGATTAGAGGCTTGATGAAACCCCTTCAAGGCCTGCAAGACAAAAGCGTGGAAGGTAACTGGATCTCCTTCCCACCTCAGGTTTCAGGAGCACCACCCTCCCTGTGGGTCTCTAAGTGGGAAAGACACCGAGTGACCCCGCAGCTTTCTGAAATGCCTGGAGCAGAGAGGTGATTGTGTGCTGTGAATGCTGCCATTCTACTGGAGTTTAGACTGCCTGAGGGGCTAACTGCCAGGCTAAGCTAACTACTGGTGGGTTTGGAGAATGAGGAGGGACAGCCAGAGGCGACAGAGCTCTGCCAGCTCCACACCCCCATGGGACTCTCACCGGGAGGCTGCCCCGTGCTATGGGGGAAAACTATGTGGGTTCTGGAATCAGACAGACCCAGTGTGGCTCACAGAGGTGCATCCAATCATTCTTTTCTCTCCTGACTCACACATATTAAATAACAAGCACAAAGCAGGCTTAGTGTAAGACTGGGGTAACTTTACGCCTGCCAGTAACTCATTTTTGATAGAGAAAGCTTTTGGGGGGAAAGAACACAGGCTGCTACATATATAATATTCTTCAGGGCTGAGAAGATGGCTCAGTGGTAGAGTGCTTGCCTCGCATATATGACCTAGGGTTCGATTCCTCAGCACCACATAAACAGGAAAAGCAGGAAGTGGCGCTGTAGCTCAAGTGGTAGAGCACTCGCATTGAGCTGAAGAGTTGAGGGACAATGTCCAGGCCCAGAGTTAAAGCCCCATGACCAACAAAAACAAATATAAATAAATAAATAAATAATGTTCTTCAAAGAAGGTCCTAGAGCACATTTCTTCAGTCTGTCTTCTCTATGGAATCCTAAATGTGAGGCCATACTAAGAACACCAGGACCTAGTTTCTGGTTCCAGTGGCCCCAAGAACTGACCAAAAGTGATCTAGCCAGGTGCTGGTGGCTCACATCTGTAATTCTAGCAACTCAGGAGGCTGAGATCTGTGCATCAAAATTCAAAGCCATCCTGGGCAGGAAAGTCTAAGAGACTTTTTAATTTTATTTATTTATTATTTTTTGTTGGTTGTGGAGCTTGAACTCTGGGCCTGAGCACTGTCCCTGAGCTCTTCAGCACACTTCTGGTTTTCTGGTGGTTAACTGGAGATAAGAATATCACAGGACTTTTCTGCTTGGGCTGGCTTTGAACCGTCATCCTCAGATCTCAGCCTCCTGAGTAGCTAGGATTACAGGCATAAGTCACTGGCGCCCAGCTAAAATTTTTTAAATTTTTGATTGTGGGGCTTGAACTCAGGGCGTGGGCACTGTCCTTGAGCTTTCCTGCCCTGGATGGCTTCAAACTATGATCTTCAGATCTCAGTCTCCTGAGTAGTTAGGATCGTAGATATAAGCCAGCAATATTTGGTTGTGAGACTTATCTCCAATCAACCTCCAAGAAGCCAGAAGTGGAGCTTCAGCTCAGTGGGATAGCAAAAAAGCCGAGGGCCAGGGCCCAGGCTCTGAACTCAAGCCCCAGCACCAGCACATACACACACACAAAAGTGATGGGGCTGGGAAGGTGGCTCAGTGGTAGAGCGCTTGCTTTGCATGCCTGAGGCCCTGGGTTCGATTCCTCAGCACCACATAAGCAAAAAGAAAAAAGCCGGAAGTGGCGCTGTGGCTGAAGTGGTAGAGCGCTAACCTTGAGCTGAAGAGCTGAGGGACAGCGCCCAGGCCTAGAGTTCAGGCCCCATGACCGGACCCAAAAAAAAAACAAAAAAAACAAAAGTGATCCAGCCACACTGCCAGCAAGTACAAACATCTCAAGACTGAAAAACAACTCTGGTGGTAGGAAATGATCAGAGTTCAGCAGGACAGACCAAAGGTGGCCAGGCAGAGTGGAGGAGTTCTAAGCTGGGGCTTTGCAGCCAGGATGCTGGAAAGGGAGAATAATAATTACTCACTTCTGTGCTATACTTAGCGGCTTACCAGCACTTTCAAAGACATCATTGGTTTGATTCTCACAAGTACCTTGAAGGTAGGCAGGTGCCACCTCCTTTTAAAGATGGAGACGCTGAGGTCACATAACTTGCCCAAGGGACAAATCTGAAGCAAGTGAGAACCTAGGGCCCCCTCATCTGGGTGTGCCCACAAGAGCCCTAAGCTTTCTGCCTGGCAGCCCAGGGAGGGTTCCCATTGCCACACTCTCAGCTCTGTACCTCCGTTGTGTGTGACAGCGGCAGGCCCAGACAGAGCCCACACCAGGAGGCTGAGGAGCTCAGAGGGATTCTGTGTGATTGCTGGCTTGGACCCACAGTCTTCAGAGTGGGAAAAATAGAGGGGTCAAGCAGAGGGCAGGAGGGTGTAAGGAGAAGCCCCAGGTTTCATTCCCACTCTCCCCAGTCTGCATTGCAGAAATAAAAGCCAAACAAGTTGCTGAGCACTGGTGGCTCCCACCTGTAATCCTAGCTACTCACGGGGCTGAGATCTGAGCATTGAAGTTTGCAGCCGGCCAGGGTAGGAAAGTCCAGGAGACTCTTA